TTTTTTTTTTTTCCCGTTTCCCCTGTTATTTTCCTTGACTTTTATTTTGCCTTTTATTTTTTTCCTTCTTTTATTTCCCTTCTCCTGCCCTTTCCCCTCTCTTTCGCCCTTTCTTTCGTTGTCCCCGCGTTCCGCCGTGCTGCGGGCAGGTGCCCGCGGACGGGCGCGGCGGGACCGTCCTCGGCGCCGTGCGGAGGCGCAGCCCCGCGGCAGACGGGCAGGGGGCTCCGCGGGGGACGCCGGCTCAAGGCTGCGCGCCCGCGGAGCGATTGCCTGCGGGGGACGGTGCGCGGGAGGGCTGCCCCGACGGACCCGAAGGGGAACGCTGGCACGGTCGGGGCGGCCGTCCCGGGCAGCAGCTGTCTGATGAGTTTAAATTAGAGGAAAAAATAGTATTTTACCGCACTTTCATGCACCTGATCCCATGCTGCTCCTGCAGCTGAACCTCTCCTGTTGCTTTTTTATCCTTTTATTCGTTTTTCCTCCCTCTTTCCCCCCCAGTCTTCTTGTGCATGAGCAGAAAAATAGGGAGAGCGGTTCAGCGGCCTTTGACTCCGTTTTAATTTCCAAAGACTTCGTAGCACAGTGGTATGAGTAACTCAAAAGCTTATATATGCTGAAATTGAGATTGCTGCTGTCTTGGGGCTTTGGTCCTGTCCCTCCCCTCCATGCAATCGCCTTTTTAATTTTACACACAGAATTCGACAGGTATAGACCAACCTGTATGGCTTGGGAAGGACACAGTGACTTTAAATTTTGGCTGAGGAAGAGCATGCTGTGCTCATTTTGCTCGGAGCAGGGAGACAGGATGGGTTTTCCAGCTGAAGCACTTGTTTTTTCGGGTGAGTCAGGCAGCCTGGTGTCGCAGAAGGTGAGGAGGGGGAGTGAGGGTTTGGATATCTGGTGTGACCCACTCTCCCAGCCCCTGATACACCTTTCAGGACCCTAAATGCTGAAAGCAAACATTTAAGTTTGCAGAGGAGCTGGAGAAGAGAGGCAGGATGGTGTTTGGGGTACCAGCTTCAGCAGGGGCATGTATCTCCAGGGCATTTTGGCGTCCCTGCCCATCCCTGCACACGCGGAGGTGCGGTGTGGCAGTGGCATCCTCAGCGCAGGGCAAGCCCACGTGTCGTGTCCCCTGCCTGTGTGGCAGTGGCAGGGTGGCCGTGGCGCCCGTCTGTGTTTGCGGTCCGACCGCTGCCTGCCGTTAGGGCGGCTGGTTTGTCAGTGGCAGAGCTGAGCTGGGAGGTGAGCGATGCGAAGGGCATTGGAAAAGGACATTTGGCTGGCTCTCCAAGCTGGGGTGACCCTGTGGGACGGGTGACAGGAACCTCCATAGCACTGCCACGGCAATGGGGTGGCACAGAGTGTCCTGCCTGGGCGCCTGGCTGGAAAGGGGGTGCAGGAGGGTGACTTCAGTCTGAGCCGGAATCCACGGAGCCCTGAGTGAGTCAGTATCTGCATGTGTTAACAATAAAATGCAAAAATAAAATGTCAGAGTGATAGGAGAATGAGACACGTCTAAGAATACAGCAGCTTGGCAGGGATGCTCCGTGTTGCATCACCCTTTTCTCCCTCAAGGGCAGGGTCCTCCCAAGCCTCCCACCAGCTTTGGGAGCGGGAAAGGTTACAGCTAGAGCCACCCAAACTTTTCCAGCGCAGGCACACCTGTGTTGGTACCGAGCTGCCACCAGGCAGGTACGGTGGGACAGGACTCGGCTCTTGACAGCAGGTAGGAGCAGGGTGGGCAGTGCTGCACGGGCAATTTAGTGGAAAATCCCCCAAAAGGACTTGCCAGGGTAATGCTGAAAGCCCCCAAACCTCCTTTAGGTGCTGTATGAAAAACTTTAAAATGACTACAGGTGATGCTGAGAGGCATAAAACCACTCCAATACCACTGCATTTTACAAACAGGTTAATTGTTGATTCCTTTGGCAGGGGGTTAGGAAAAGCACCTTGTAAAATCATAGGATCATTCAGGTCAGGAGAGATCTCTGGAAAAGATCGCTTTCAGGTCGCTTGGAAATGCTGGAAGCATTTGCTAGTCCAAACCAAATGCAGTCTCTGCTGCCGCACCGATTACTCCTTGCTCTCCTCCACCCAGTGCCCAGAGTTTCCAACTGCTTTCGGGGCAATTCCGGCCGGGTTTGGGGCGAGAGCTGGCAGGGGCTGCCTGGCCGCGGGGCGAGGCCGGCTGACAGCGCTCCCCGCTCTCTACGGAGCAACACTTTGGGTTTCGCTCCCAAATAGAAATACAAATTCCCTCTAGAAAGGGGAAACGGTAACAATTTTTTTTTGTTTGCAGCAGATTGCAAAGGCAGTAAATGCTGATTCTTTCAGAGCCAGCCATGGATTAAGTCCATTATAAAATTAAAACAGATGGAACACAATTTCACTTACATTACAAAAAAGGACAGGAACCATCTGCAATAAGATTTAGCATTGCAAAGCTATTGTTATCATGTTACCATTAAAACCTTTGATGAAGGGTTTTCTTTTCTTTCATAAACTTGTTCACATGAAACAAATGTTTTATTTATCCATCTTCCTAAGATAATCATATTTTATTTAAAAAGATGACATCTCTCTCTCAAAAAAAAAAAAAAAGCCAGCTCTTGGTTCTAACAGAACATTTAAAACCAAAGAAATGTAAAACTCCAACGTCGATCCACTGGGGGCTTCAATGGGGAGGATGTAGCCAAAGGAGAATTCCCTGTCCATTTTTCCTTTAAAAACATTTCCTTGTGTTTGGGGACAATGTCTGATACTGAAAATAGATAATTAATGAGATAATGGGATACTGCATGTCACCTCCTGTCCAATGGGATTATCTGATGGCTAATTATGGACAGATTGTGATTAATGTGATTATGGATTGGATATTAATCTGATTCTGGATTGATCTAGTTATGTTTTAGTCTGCTCCAAATGGTTAATTGGATCTGAGATAATAGAAATGCAGCTTGCACCAGATTTTGCCACATCAGTTGATGAAGTATCTTTTGATCTGGGTGGGTTGCGAACAATAAATTATTTACAGCTGTTGAGAAAATGACTCTTCCTTAGAATGTAGTCATTCATTTTATTTTCGAGAGCCTTTGAAAACAAAATCAATATCCTTTTTAAAAGGAGATGTTGACAAAAGAAAGGCACGTACATAACTCACAAACAAATGTGACGAAATTAAACAGTGGTTAACCCGGTGGCCTAATGTCTGGTGATGCATTTGAATTGCTATGTGGAGCTTTGGGCTCAATTCTTCTGAGACCAGCAGGGGTTGGGAGCATTGCAGGGGAAGAGGGCCCAGCTCTGGGGAAAGTGGTATTGCACAAGCGCTACTGCCAGCCCTGCTATTGATTAAGAATCAGCCATGGTGAAATGGCAAAGGCAGCCCTTGCCATTCTTTCCCCTCCGGATAAGACGGATTCAGAAAGTTCAAGGGCGCAGAAAGGGCTTGTTGGCCCATCTCATCCTTCATACCACACCACGCAATTGGACCCAGTATTATTATTTTTTCCCCATTAACTTACAGTTGACCTCAGTCGTGTCTCCCAGGGATGCATCTGGTCTTGATGTAGGCTGCCAGTGTGGGAGAGGCTACCCTGCTCCCTGCAAAGCCATCCTGCTTGTTAACTACTTTCACTGAAATGGCAAATTAAGTGTATATTTTAGGTTCAAGCTCCAGCCACTGGATCTCGTTATGCCATTATCTGTGGGATTAAAGACAATGGGTAAATTGTAGCATCTTAGACTTTGTGACAGGACAAGTGGGAGGTGCCTTAGCCTTCATCACCAGGTGGCATAAGTGGCAGGTAACTTCACCAGAAGGTGTTCCCCTCTCAACAGGCTTTGCAATAGAAATATCAAAGACCAATCAGGTCCCAAAGCACTGAAAACAGAGGCCTATTGCAGCTGCTGCGCTTAGCACTAGAGTGTTATTCACTGAGGTAAAACTGAAGGAAAAAAGGAAAAAGTGACTTTCCCTGAAGTGCTTACAGGCATGGAAAGGGCCATTCCCCTGGGGTGATTTCACACGCTGGCTGTCCCTGCCTCTGCAGGAATGGCTCGGGCTGGCAGGAGCGGGAATACAGTGGCATCTGGGTTGCTCTCCAGCAGCGTAACGGGCAGAAAAAGCAGCTACCTGTTTAAAAAATAATGCTGCTATAACCCGGCAGAGAATTGTACACGCATCTCCCATTAGCGACAAGGCAGGCTGCGTGCCGGAGGAGGGCGGCAGGTCGCAAAGCACCCATGGCGGGTGTCTGCACTGGGAGGGGAGCCGAGCTCTCCCCGCCGGCGTCGCTTCCCTCGTCCTCTGCACAAACCACCGCCGCTGCCGGGCAGGACAAGCTGCCTTCCAAGGTAACCCGAGCCTTTGCTTCCAGGAGGTTAGGAGGGTCCCTTTTCACCCGTGATCTCGACAGAAGGGGCTTCTTTTAACTCCTCCGCTGATCTTGTTCTCTAGGAATATACAGCAAATGTGATGTTGCTCCCTGACTCCCTCGTTACTTGGCTGGCACACGGAAATGACTAGCAAGTGAGAGGAGTTTATAAGAAAGGAAAAACACCCGCCTGTGGTGGTTTTGTAGGCTCGGTGTCCGTAGAGTGGTTGTCTCTTCTATGGGGTGGCTTTGGGGGAGCTTTTCCCTCTGTCCCCCCACTGTGGAGATAGGGCTCGTGGTGTTGTCCCCTTCCTGAGGGCTGCCCTGAGATCTCCTGAAAGAGGAGCTGCTGATTTGAGACGGGTGAGTGGTTGTAAGGTGATCTGGGCAGAGCATTAAGCACACCTGTAGTGGTGTTTTATTATAGAGGAACTCAAGCGTCAGACATGTTGAGATGTATTTTTGTGCCGGTGAGGAAGAGGAGCAGAGAGCAGGACCCTAGCGAGCTGCGTCCCACGTCGTGCAGAGGGTCCCGTATTCATGGCCGTGGGGAAGGGGTGAGTGCAGGGGTGATGTCCCGGGGTGGCTGAACCACTTTGGTCACACGAGCTTGGGCACGAAATAACTTCAGCAGCAGAGATCTCTTCTGCTGTCACTTCCGAGGTGGGGTTTTGTCCTGTCCCTCCCCGGTGCTGGGCCGCAGGTCCTGCCTGTTGGTTGGAGAGCCCCACTGAGCCGTAAGCAGGTTGCAGTTGCTTTAACATTATTGGATTTTGACAGATTAGGAGGCGAATCCTTTCGTGTGTTGGGGAAGCTTCCCAAATGAAGCTCTTTTAATTTATCTGAGTCAGCTATCCCCAGGGCGGCTGCAGGAGGAGTAAGGGAGTAAGCTAAGGATGACCCGTGACAGGGGACCATCACAGCAGTAATAAAAAAATTCCTGCCCTTCACTAAATCCCTTAGTCATGAGGCTGTATTAGCTGGATTCCATATGTTTTAATTAGGAATTATGTATTTTAAGGGAACCAAAATCCGATTCTAGTGAAGACATGATTACATATTTGTAATGGTTCTCATTTGGTTTGGCTTTTGTAGAGATATCAGTACCGGTACCTGGCTTTTAGTTGCAACCAAATTTTTTAAAGTTTGAGTAATCCATGTTATTGACTTTTTTTTTTTTCTTCTTTCTCCCCCTCCCAATTGTGTGAAAAAATGTAATTCCCTTTCCAATGCAGAAATTGGGTCAGCAGATCCTAATGAAATAATCCTGGATAACAATGCACCATACAAGGATCTGCTCCCACTAATTAATGACTCATTTTTCTTTCAAAATCCAAAGTACTATCCTCGGCCTGCAGTAGACAGTGACTCCACCTTCAGCGGCACCTGTTTGTTGCACACCTTGCCATTTTTATTATTGTCGTGCCCTAGGTGGGGAGGTCAAATAGAAAAAAAAGCTTTTTGCCATCATTGAGCTAATATGGATCATGCTGATATAATCCCTACCTGATTACAGTTATAAGCTCCTGAAACACTGGCCATAAGTGATAAAGACTTCCTTTGTGCTTCAGCGTGTAATCCGCATCAAGCCAGTTTCAATAAGGATTACGCGCATCTGAAGTGTTGCTGAGGTTTTTGAATCAAAATTATAAACAGAAAACATAATAAAAAAGCCTGTCATGCCTCTGGATTGGTGATGCTACACCTTGAAATCTGACCTAAAGGGTGGCGATGTCACCCTGCTCATGACAATATGATGTTAAGGCTGTTAAACCCAATACGTAGTGAAAGGAACCCTTTATTCTGAGCTACGATGCAATTAGGTCAATTTTGATAGTAGCTCACTTTTGTTTTGCTGGGAGGTATTCAAATACAAGCTCAAATGAGATTGGTTTGCGTATTTTTGTGCTTTTGGGTTTTTAGGTGTCCATGTGTTTTTTCTTTTTGTTAAAGATTTCATCCCCATGAGTTGTGCATGTTAGAAGCTCAGTTTTGGGGCTTAAAATAGGATTATGAAATTGCGTGCCACGCTTTTAATGAGTAAAACACCTTAATTAATGACCAAATTAAGGACTTCCAGGATATCCTTATTTTGCTTTTGTTGTTCCTTTTGTTGGATTACCGAGGGTGCAGATAGGGATTTCTATACTATGTAAAACTTCACATCTCTGAAGAGTTACACTGCACCTTATGACAGTAAAGAGCTGCTTCAATTATTTATCCTCTTCTCAAATCCATCTCAGGGTCCTGCGACTTCAGCAAAATCATCCTTCCCCTTATCTTCATGAAAATAATTTTTTTTTTTTTTTAACCCGGTGATTTGTGCAATCCAGGAGAGGCACAGGAAGCCCCAAACACTCGTTCTGTTTTCTTCATCTTTTTGGGGACTGGCTGAAGGGTGGTTCCCGGCCCTGGCAGAAGTTAGAGCAGCCCTGGAGCTTCCTGAATCTGTCTAAATGAGGCACAGGCCCCAAAGGAGGTTTGCCACCTCCTTCAGCTCTTCCCTCTGCAGCCCTCCCTCGGGGGCTTGGGGAGTTTAGGTAGTGCTCTGAGGCCAGAAAGCTGGAATACGCCGTACAGCTGCTTTTCTTCTATTATAGAGGCATTTGAGATTTGAGACAAGTAAATTGTCGATTCGGGTGCCTGTGTTGCTGGGCCTGGTTAGCTTTTGCTGTAAAGCTCTAGTACTTTTTGGCATCTGATGTGAAAATCATGTGGCAGAATAAATTTTAGAGGTGATCCTGTGCCAAGGCTGTGGCAAAGCCGAAGAGCCTTTTTTGAGCAATTTGCCTTTTGCTTTTCTACGGGGCGCCTCAGAAATGCAGAACGAATCACTGACACGCCGCAGATCACCGCTTAGTCTTGGAAGAACAGTCCGAGGACCATAATTGCTCAGGGTTTTTTCTGTTTTTTTTCTTTCTCTCTAAACCACGTCAGGATGGGAAGGAAGAAACTGCATTCGTGGCTCACTATCTGGCAGTTTCTGGGAGGGGAGGTCGGTTGGGAATGTCGCAGATCCATGGGAGCTTGGGTTGATGGAGCGGTCACTCCAGAGTGGTGGCCGCTGCTGTCTTCTCCAGGACACCAGGCTGTCGGAGAGCCACAGCACATACTTTGGCAGTGAATTTGGTCGTGAATTTTGAAACTGTTTGTTTCACTGATTGGTCTTTGAATCTGTCAGGCCCTTTGGACAACCGGTGGGCCGTGACTCCCGGCCTCTTCTATGTGTCTGTTATGGTTTGTGGAACTCTCAACAATTTATTGTCACCACCTGGGAAGGGGAACTGGGGAAAACCAAGGAAACCTGAGGGCTGAGGTATCAGTAGGCTAGGATAAAGACTAAATAATTAACATCAATACTGGTTCTTTAGTATTATTAATCCTGATACCAATATGAAATACACAAGGATTGCACTCAGCCCATTCCATCCCAAGAAGCCGTGCCCTCCCTGCATGGAGGCCAGTGTGGGAGGAAGGGAAGGGCTCTGGCACCGGGGCAGGGAAATCTCAGGATGGCAGCCATCAAGGGAGAGCGAGCTTCACAACAAACTTTGTAATTTATATTAGAAGTGACGTTCGTGGTGTGAAATAACCCTGTTGGCAGCTTGGATCAAGTGCCCGGGTCTCACTCTTCCTTCATCCCTGCGCCTGGCAAGGCTCAAATACACGAGACCCTGGAACCCGCACGCCGGGGCTGGCTGTAAAGCAAGTATTTTCACAAATTCAGACGCTGGAGTCTTCCAAAAGTGCTGTTTTCCCAGGCGTTAGGAGATAAATTAGTCCTGGGTCTCTCGAACCCGGCCGCCAGGCGCTGGGTGCCCACGTTCCCCCCGAGGCCGCGGGGGAGCCCGCCTGAGGGGAGCCGGGAGGGGGCGGGGCGGTGCTGCCCACGCGCCCGTTTGAGGCGGGAAGGCGCGCGTGCCCGGCGGGGCAGTTGTCCGTTACCTCTTCGAGGCGCCCCACTAACCGCCGCCCGCCCCGCGCGCCCTTCCAACGGCCGCGCCGCGCGCCCCTCGCCCGCCGTCGGGGCAGCCTGTGGGGAAGGGGAGGGGGAAGGGAGGGGAGACAGTCTCTCCGGCCGCCCATTGGCCCGCCGCTCCGGCCAATGAGGCGGCGGGGTGGGGCGCGGCTCTCGCGAGAGCGGCGCGGGGCCCGGGCGGCGGAACCATGTTGCGGGCGGTGGCGGCGCAGCGCCTGAGGCGGGCGGTGAGTGCGGGCGGGCCGGGGGCGGCGGGGAGGGGGCCGAGGGGGTCGGTTGCCTTCCCTCCGCCCCGGCCGTGTGGGCCTCCCTGCTCAGGGGAGCCGGAGGTTGCGCGGGGCCGAGCTCCGCCGTCGGCCCGCCTGGCGGCAGTGGCCGAGGGGGTGTCTGGGGCAGGGGAGGAGGAACAGGCCGAACTTCTCCGCCGGACTCCGCTCCTCTGCCGCACCGTGGCTGTTAAAAATAAAGTTTCTGAGGGGACGCTGGGTGTTTCAGGGGCCCTTTCAGAGCGCATTCCACGCAGGAGTTGAGGGTCGTTGTTACAACTTTCTGAGTGCTTGCTCTCATTCCCCCTCGTACAACACTAGCTGAGGAACGGGAGTGCTTTCCTTACTCTTGGAAAAAGACTCTTGAAAAGACTCTTGGAGTTGTTACTGCAAACTTTTAACAACGTTACAAAGAGATTTGTGGCTGAAGGAGAGGCTTTCTGGGGTCTTGAGAGGTTAACACAGTGTTTCTCAATCACACGAACACAGCTGTGCAGAAATGGGATTGATTTAACCCTCACAATCAGTGGGCCGAGCCTGATGTGAAACACTTGTTGCTTTTCCAAATTGACCTTCATATTGTTCAGCTGTGAGGAGTGCTGGGCTTTTGGAGGCCGTTTGCTGCTTGATGTGGCATGATGGCTGTTACCAAATTTAACGACTAGGTGAACTCAAGGTTAGTTGGAGTAGATGATTTATGAAATGTCCCTGAATATCTGTTCAAACTCGTAGCATGCACTAGGGAACGCTTCTTCCACTAGAACTGTGTGTAAATAGCCCTCCTAAAAGAGCTTTAAATCTAACAAGTTTGATTTTTGAGCTCTCCAAGGCTTTTACACACACTACAATTCTGACCAGCTCTAAAATTGTAATTATGGATATATTAGTTGGTGTCAGGTACTAAGAATGGCTAAAAGAGGAGCAAAGGTAGACCAGGACATATGTGACTTAGTTAATCTATAAATGATAACTGTTGCGGTCATGGACATCTTTCAGTTATTGTTAGGCTGTAGGCTTTGCAGAGCAAAGGTCTTGATGATCTCCAGAGCTACTAGAACACATATTACTGCTGTGTAAATAATAATTTACTCTCATAATCACTGCACAATTCAGTTTCATGTCCTGGAAACACGAGGCCCTTGGTTTTCAGCTGTATGTATCTACACTCATAAATTTATAAAATAAAGCCAATAAAACATTATGTGCGTCTTCAGGGTGTGGGTAACAACATAGTCTGCCAGAGGAGTGAGGCAAACTCCAGCACTGCTAATGCGCATGCAGAACAAGAGTGAATAGAATCTAGAGAAAAACAGGACGTGAGAGACTTGTAAAGTATGAGCAACAAGGAAAGGTTGGAGTTGTATGATTTAAAGATGGGAGCACTGAGGAGGAATATGAGGCTGCAAGTACACAAAAAAATGGTGCAGAGGTTGGAGTCTGCCTTTTCATCAGTCTGTGAATGATAAAATAATAACAGTTGGCTTAAATTGCAAGAAAGCTATTTAAGATAGCTACAAAGAGTTAAGATAGACATGAAGAAATCCTTTCTAGTTGAAAGGAAAGTAAGTTTTTGGAATAGGTTGCCTAGGAGTCTTCATCATTGGAATGCACTGACAATAAGCGAGACAGATATGTTGGAAATAACATAGATATGGTTGCCTTGCATCTGATGGGGGGTAGCCTTGTGTGAGCTCTTGAGGTCCCTTCCAAACCTGTAATGATATGAAATTGTGATCATCAGGATTGTCTTGCAGACTTTTAGTTAAGGGGCATTTTGAGGTCACACGTTCCTAACTTTATGAAGCAACAAACAAGTAGTGTATTCCCTTAACATTCTCTGTATTTTTATCAGATAAGCAAGTGTCTGCCTATTTGCCTGTTCACAGTGTTGGGGTTTTTTCTTTTTTCTTATATGATGCTACCCACCAGTTTGGGCCAATTTGCTTGCAGGCAGATGTGATACCAGTGCCTTTAATTGTTACTCAGCCTGTGTTGAAGTTAGAATTTATCCCGAGGGTATTTACGAAGGGCAAGCAGTGCTAGTCTTAACTGTTTCAAGTCACAAACTGATCTCTTGGTCTCCCTCAGTTTGACCTCCAGGGTTGCTTAAAAAAAACCCAGCGACAGAGTGACAGAGTGAAGGACATTGTAGCACTCTATTTCGTAAGAAAACTATTTGCTTTGTGTTTGATTTTTCAGGGTTCTGCCGTTGTTTTAGAGGTCCAGATAGAATAAAAGTTGCATTTGCTTCTGCAATATGTTTTTTTTGGAGGCAAGAGTCGCTTTAGAGTTGGCTTAAAATAATAGGCATGTTCTTATAAAGCTGTTGGAGATCTTCAGCTAAAAGTGCTGTCAGGTGTCCTTTCTCATTTTGTAGTGTAGTATTTTACCATTATAACAGCTTTTGAACAAAGTGAAATGTCACTTGCTAAATTTTAAGTGATATTGAACAGGCACTCTTATTTTATCTTTACAGTGTTTGGGGGGGGACCCAGTTTTCACAGTTGTTGAGTCTTTGAGTTCTGTGGATTTGTTCAGAGCTTTCAATTTCTTGGAGTTTCTGAAAATGTTGGATTTTATTTCAGTCATATATATCTCATGATGCAGGTCTGTGTTTTTTAGCCTGAGATTATTCAGATGAATGGGTTTAATAGCCTGAAACACACCTTACTCAGAAAGTACTGGGCTACATTTGTAGTTTTAGGGAGTATTTTGTAGGTATCCTTCACCTGTCATTGATAAGCTCAGACTGTTAACCTTGAGTTCACTTTCAGTAGTGTTGTCTGTTTTTCAAAACAGCTTTGTTGCTTTGTTTTTTATTAGTTTTGCATGTGATAGATCTCAAAAAGTTTATTCTGTATTATATCTTTCTATTGCTGCTGCAATTCCTTTGTAATTTTAAGTCTTTATTGTGTTCCTAAATAAATCTTTTGTATAAATGCTTTCTTCACTTAGTTTGGTGTTCTTTGCTGCAGTTACAGCTCTTTTTCAGTTCATGTGCTGATTTTCTAGTTAGCATGTCCTGGAGTTAACTAGCTGTCGCTTAGACCTCTTCTGTTGTCTGTAGCCAGATCTGTACAGAGGTTCTAGGAGAAGTATAAGCTTTATTGCTAGAGCTTCTTCCTCTCCCTGAGCTTCCCTAATTTTTTTCTTTGGTTGTTTTTTTGTTTGTTTTTTTTTTTGCATTTTTTTGGTTGTTGTTGGTTTGGTTTGGTTTTTAAACTTTAGCAGTTACAAGACTGATTGTTAATAGAATGAGGCATTGTTTTGTTGTATAGGAATATAGCTGTTTATCTTTAGTAATACCCCAATCTCTAGTTCCTGGGATCAATTCTTGGGAGTTTTGCGCAGTGGTAATGAGTCTCTCTGGGATACATAATTCCTACTAAGCGGTTTAAAAAATTTAATTTCTGGCCAGTTTGCTTTTACAGCTTAGAAAAACAGCTCTAGAGATACCTTTGTGGGCCCAGTTGTCAGATCCTTCTGCCTTGTGAATTTCTATTTCAGTTTAGTTCCTTGAAACTTCCAGTGGTTCCTCTGAAGAGGTTGGGAAGCAAACTTCAGTGTCCTGGGTGCAGTTTCTAGCAGCCTAGTTTATATTGATGCATATTTTGATTATGTAGAATACACCTGCTGGAGCTCTTGCATTTACTAGAAAGACTTTTTGGCCATCCCATCTTTTGTTCCCCTGTGTGCCATGTTTGCCACTTGCAGAGCTGATTTCATATTCCTGTGTTACAAGGAGCAGAGTGCAGGCTGGCGGCTCTCGACTCTGGACTGCAGAGGCCATTGGTACCTGTCTGCTCACCAGTCCCACCAAGCAAAGGTTTACAACACTCTTGGCTGGGATTTTCCAAGCCAAGCCGAGATCCAGCTGTTAATACATATGTTTTGTAGATATAAGCAGCAAATCCGTGTTTCAGACGTGCTGGGCCTGCTTGTGTGCTGTTCAGGTGACCTGTCTATGTGCTGAAAGACCAGCATATGTTCAGTTTGTGTTGGCATTGCTGTGAAGAGCAGATCACCTGCGCAAATTGAATGAGTACTTTGGATATTGGCCTCATAGATGGGTTTATCTGCTCATGTGTACTGGGCACATCCAGATTTCTAACATTTGGCTGGAACAGTAGCAGCAAGTAATCTCAGTTATTTTGTTTGAATTCAGATATCATGCTTAAATTTTTAACATTCTGCTTGGAAAACATGGCTAATTTTTCCCCAAAAGATGCTTTGGGGAAATTTGAGACAATAGATTCAGTGAATCCTGTGGTACTTTGCAAGTGGCTTAATTGATGTATACTGCACATCTAGGTTAATCTTACCAACTTTTAGACATCTGGAAGTCAGAGGCCAGGTTTGCTCTACAGGAAATGCTGGGGGGGGAGATTGGAAACTCTAGACATTTTTCCTTCATAAATGTTTATTTTAGTATAAACTGAATCACTGTCTGAGTTTCCACCAGAGAGGAAATGTAGATGTTTCTGCTGTAGAGGAAGCATAGGTGCCTAGCTTTAGTTTTTATCTAAACCTCAGTGAAATCAATTTCCAGTTGTACTGGTTGCTGGCAGATGTGTTTCCTAATCTACTGGCATGCTTGAGAAGCTCCTGATTGCCCAAGTTTGTAGGATGTTTAACTGTAATTGATTTCTTCGGATTTTCCAGAGCTTGGTTTGCACCGGGAACCTTCTGTGGCACAAGCGCTGAGTGCTGTTCCTTCTCAAGGCATTGTTTTCAACAGTTTGGTGGTTCTCCCTGTTTTATTTCTTGGGTTTTTTATCCTTGCTGTCAGCTGGTTAGGGTTATGTCCAACCTTACTATTTTATCTAGGTTTGAAACTAGACATCCTGCCCAAGGTGGAAAAATCATGTCAGTGAAATAATGGGCTGGACAAGTTCCTTCGTCAAAACAACTACCTGTCCTCCTCATTGACTCAGAGCAGAGTCTCAGTTTTCAGACTCGTATGTGGCTGGATGAATTACCCTCTGATTTTACTGCAGAATCTTTATTACAAACAACAAAATTCAGTTTGTTTTGTTTATTTAAAAAAAAAAAGTGGTTAACTGTGTTAATGTATTAAAATTCAGACTCACATAGGAATCTTATTTGCCACCTAGGATTTTTACCCAAGATCTGGAATGTGACTGTTAATTTATTTTAAATCTGGCCTTGTCTTTGCGTTCAGAAGTGTCCTGCAGGTAGGCATAAAGTGACCTTCTTGTGTGCAGTTCCCGGTTTAGAAACAGTACCTAGTTAATGCTGTAATATCCAGTCTGCTCAAGCAACATCCGTTGCTCTTACTCTTTTTGGCTAAAAAAATATATTTCTCAGTTTATTCTAGAATCATTCGACAGAATGATATAGAACTGCTCTGGTGGTGCAGTACTTATTTAGGGAAAAGATCATAATATAGTCAGAATTGAGTGCGTGTTTAAAATGCATGTGGCTCCCTTTGGAAATTTGAAAACTTTAGAATCTTTCAGGAGCACGGTCCACTTTACCCTGTGACATGACTATAAATCATTGAAAAAGTGGGCTTTTTGCCACAAAAGCATGGATTTATTCTTCAGACAGTGACTAAAATCTCATAACTTTTATTGCAAATGATGTATGAAACATAATCAAAAATATGGTGTCTGAACTATATTGGCAATAAATATTTTGTTACTGGCAATTGGCTTCAAATTATCGTAGAATCTTTAATCATAACAAGTAACCTTAAGCATAAAAGATGAAATGCAGAGCACTTTTACAAGAATCCTTATTGTTTTAATCAAAATGACAAATGATCCTGATTCTGCAAAAACTTATTTTTGTATTTATATTTTTACACTGTGGTTAGCTTCAGGGAAGTCCTCAAGATTTGCTTTCTCGGTGTGAAGTTTAGCAGGTAGACTTTGTGTGCTTGAAGTCCATATCCAAATTTTAGCCTCTCAGATTTTCTGAAACTTTGTTTATTTTTCCTTAGTTTCAGTGGTGGGTAAGTGCATATTTGGTGTGAGGGGAGACGGGGTGACAATATATGTGCAAAAAAGTATTGGCTGTGCAGTCTTTAGCTTTGTGTTAATATTTGTGCCTTGGTCATATTAATGAATCTCTTGCGTTTTCCATGTGTTCCATATTACATTCATCATAACTCGAGTATTGAATCCTTTATGTAGGATAAGCAAAGACTTGGAGGATAATATTCCTGTTCCCACCCCAAACCCTTTCCCTACCCTAATATTTGTCTTGGAGGGATAATGCTTTTTCCTGATTCACCTGAAAATTAGAGATGAAAGTCTCAGAGCTTAGAATATTTTGGTTTGGTTTCATGGCAATTGTTTGCTTTCCCCTTGCCCCCTTTTTTTTTTCTTTCATTTTTGCTTTAGAAGTTAAAGTCTGTGTGGATGGTGAATTGGTCAAAATTATTATTTAAGGATCATTAAATTGTGATAGACTAAGTGGTCAAATGTCACATGTTTTAAAGGAAAATAGAAGAAAATGAACCTGATGCTTATCAACAGTTCTATTAATCTGTTTTCAGGCTCTGAGCCCTTGCTGCTTAGTTGTCATCCTGCCACTGCATGCAATTTTGGCTTTATGTACAACTAATTAAAAAAATTAAAAAGTGTATTCTGTAGCTAGATTTTGGCTAGAGCCTATCGTAAAAAAAACCAAACCAAACCAAACAAAGCCCCTAAAACAAAGAAACTCTCCCCCCAACCAACCAAAGTTCCAAAAACCAACAAGTAAATACTTATTTGCTCCCCTTGATTTCCTTGTGTCTTAGTATTGCTGGTTTAATTTTCTCTCTTTATGGTACTTATTTAAGCTGATCAACTGAGCTTGAATATAAAGTATTAAAATGTTTTTCTTAATACTTTTCGGTATTTTCCTGTGAAGGTTTTAGTTTAAACACAGCATGTTATAAATATGCTGAAGTCAAGCAAATTTATACCTTTTTATTTTTAACACCTTATTTGTTCTGCCTACTTAATAAAAATTACCTAGATTTAGCCTATTTTGTTTGGCAGCAGTGTTTTACAGTTTGTGTAATCGATAACTTTCTGTAAAGCATTGGATGCTCTTAGGAACAATTTTTTACTTGAATACTAAGTATCAAACTCCTCTCTTTCTCTCTCTCTGTTTTTCAAAGGCACCGCTGCTCCGGAGATTTCAGAGCACATTAGTCATAGCAGAACACAACAATGAAACTCTTACACCCATCACACTAAATGCTATCACTGCGGCGAAACGTCTTGGAGGTGAAGTTTCTTGTTTAGTAGCTGGTACCAGCTGTGACAAGGTAGGAAATGCTATTTTCCTAGGAATGAAATAATGAATGCGGCGAAACAGCACTTGGTGCGTCTTGGTCAGCCTGAAAAATAATCTGTAGTGAAGAGGAAGTGTGCCAGGAATTGCTAATCTGCCGGAAATGTCCTGTGCTTGAACTGCTTCTTTTCTGAAGTGAAAATATGGGTATAGATTTCATTTCACAAGGGAGAATATCAATATCAGTTGTTAGAAGCTTAAGCAAGCAAATTTTTAAAGGACTAAAGGGCAATTAACTCTAAAACAATATTTCCCTGTAAAGTCTGAAAGACAAATACTGCAGTGCTAAGAACTTGGAAAGAAGCTTGTACTTGTTCAGGTGGAAGGCAGCAGAAATGAAACAGCACTGTGACAAACAGGGCTTCTGAGCATCTTGCTTTTACTAGTCAACTACTAGTAGTGTAGCGAGAGTGTGCTTGCAACTTCAAATGCTGAAATTAGTGCTTCCTGACTTCAGCATATAGCTCATGGCTAAAAAAGTTTCTTGTATATTAGCTGTTGTATTTTTAGTCTAATTTTTATGTGCAAGATCTAGAAACAATATAGTTAGTACATTAGTCGCGCTTTTTTTCTAGCATGATGTGCTCTTCTGTGAATAGCAAAAGTACAAATAATTATGCCTAATATTTTTCATACTAAGCTGTTGCTTATCAATTGTTGCTCGGAAAGCGATATGTAGTATCTCATGGAGGAGGCACACTGAAGGAGGCTAATTTACAAATAGGTGGAGAAGCCTCAGTGGCTATTCTAAACTGAGACCCGGGTGTTCAAGGTGGAGACCTGGAAGCTAAGAAAATTAAGAAAAAAAAAAACCAAAATATTTTTGCCTGATATGTGTGTGTGTGTGAGTTTCCTTATTCTTTGGTACTTGCATAGTAGAACTTGCATGGTTGGGAATGTTCTCTTTGTTTTTAATACTAAGTATATGATGTCTATTTGGCAATGTATGTCATGCTGGGAAAAAGTTCTTTACAAAAAAATGAAGGTTTAAAAAAAAAATTTGTGTTTTTTTTTCAAGTTTCTGTATTAGTGGGACAAAACAGCCAGTTACTCAAACATACTCTGTAGCAACTCTTAGGGAATTTTTGTTTATTTCCTCTTGTTAATTTTTGAGAGTAAACTGATACTCAGCAAACTCAGTAAAACTACGCTAGTTCTGGGGTGATGCATGTGGTCTCCAGACACTGCTGTCAGTCCTCTTCTCTCTGATCTGCAACAACCCTTTTATCATTTAAACTTCACTTCTGCAAATTTAAAGGGAAAAAAAATGCATAAATATAGAATTGAAAATATACATGATATTAGTAGGCAGTGTCAGCTGCAAACAAAGGATTGCTCCTGAAATTTGGACAAAGATCATAACATCACTGTATATTTGTATTTGCACTGTATGCTTTTGCGGTAGATACTTACTGATTAAAAACAAGGTGGGATTCGTATCTTGATGATTATATCAGAATGCTGAGCAATAGTCCTCAAGTGTGATTATTGTTGGCTGTTGTAATAAATCATGCGATCATTGTGTAATCATGCAGGAGGCAAGCTTTCCTCCCTCTGATTTGCTTTGTAGTTTTCTTATTCACAAAATTCATTTTCACTATCCCACAAGGCGCTGTGTTGTGAGTCAGAAGATCTGCATTTTGTTCATTCTGATTTTGAAATTCACATACTTTCGTGTTCCAGTTTTAATCTATAAACTGTCAGCTCTTTGCAGCAGGGACTCTCTCTTGTTGTTTGTTTGTGGTGCCTGTTGTAATAAAAACTAGTAATAATTCATTTGTAATCACAGGTAGCACAAGAAGTCAGCAAAGTTCAGGGTGTTGCAAAAGTTCTAGTGGCTCAGCAGGATGCATACAAGGGATTTCTAGCAGGTGAGAGTTGTTCTTACCTACTGAACAAAATAAATGGTTTTTGTATTTGTGATTGAAAATAAGATAGTTGTAAATATTGAGCAATATATTTTTGCCCTCAGAGGAGCTGACTCCCTTGATTGTGGAAACTCATAAAAAATTTAATTACACCCACATTTGTGCTGGAGCATCTGCCTTTGGGAAGGTAAGTAGATCAAAGTGCATCAAAAATTTCTTGTAGAAGAGAGACAGAGACACTTGTATGTAAAGAGTGTGAATCAAATGCCTGAGAGAGGGCACCCATGGACAGTTTGGAGTCTTTGAAAAATGTTGTATTAGTTTGTTTAAGAGGCCGTTAGTTAGAAACAGTGATTCATGTCTGAGTTTTATTATGGACTGACTTGAACAAAGGAACAGTGCAGAAGAAAAATTTAGTGATAACCAGCTAGTTCTATCTACACAAGACAAAAAATGTACAATAACACAAAATAGATTAGGTGATCTGAAAGCGTGAAAGTTGTAAGGAAAAGTACAGTAAGTTGAGATGAAAAATGTGTGATTTGCGTGTTGAAGTGAAAGTGTCCAGACCTATTGGAAGCAAAATTTCTTTTTGGGGGGCAGTTGCATCTATGATGTAAGTCATGTAAATCAAAATGTCTGTAAATATATGTAAATAACACAGATAAACCAAGATGTTTATTAATGAAAATAATTTTTCAAAACTTGTTTTCTAAGGAGTGTGTTTTTAAGTACACAGAGAGCCTCAGTACTGACAATCTGGGCAGTGTTGTGGTGCAGTTAAATTAGAGAAAAAGGATACTTCAGAAATATTCCCGATGTGGGATAAATAATGACATCAGCCTTCCATCTGACTACTTTCACTTCCAATCAATATCAATCCATTTACTTGTAATTTTTGTTTAGAGAAATCTTTGCATACCTTAAGTCTTAGGGGTCTTTTTGTTTAATTTTTTTTTTATTTATTTTTTGATCTGCGATGTCTTAGTAAAGGGTAATAGATTTTGCTTTAGAGTTTATGATTCTATTTTTGAGTGTTTTAATGTGGGTAAAGATTTCAGAACTGGGCCCTTTGTGTTGCACCACATTAGGAGGGGGACAAAAAGGAAGCAAAGCTCTTGCTGTCATTAATTTCTTCATGATTTCGGTTGCTCTTTTTATCCTTCTTTCCAGTCCTAAAGGTGCTAAGTCATTTTCTAGTCAATTTCAGAACAGGAGAATACAGATTTTAATATTAATTTTAAAAATATTTTTTTTTATTGCTTTTGAGGGAAGAGTGCAGAGTTTTTTTTCCTGTTGTCTCTGGTAACTAGCTTCCAAAAAGGCTTTTTTTTTTTTCTTGAAGTGCTAAGAGCTCAGCAATCCATAATTGTCAATTTTCTGAGTAAATTGCATCTATACTCAGTTTTAAACTATTGAAGCAAATCAGCCTCCCAATTTAAGATATTGAATTAAGGGTTTACTTACAGTAAGTCTCATAAAATGTCTAATGTTATTACAATAATGGGATTTTATTTGGCTGCTAAAGCTATATGAGTAGCCCTACAAAACTCTTAGTTGTATGTGCCTTTTACGTCCAGACAGCATTATATGAAGTTGAAATCAGGACAGCAGGCGTTCTTTTACTGACCATGTGCATTTACTTAGCATGTCCTTTGCTAACTTTTAATCTTTAACTTCTAGAATCTTATTCCCAGAGTGGCCGGCAAACTCGATGTTGCCCCTATTTCTGACATCATTGAAATTCAGAAACCAGACACCTTTGTGAGAACTATCTATGCAGGTGAGTAATCACAAAAGGTTACGTGGTATTTGTACAATAAAGGACCCAATACTGATAACTTTTCTGCATAATCCTGTTGTTAGAACCTTGGAATATGATAGAAATTTTCACTTTACTGTCTGAATCGCTGTGATTCATAAAAATGAAACCTGGGGATGGAGATGGTGCTCCATGTGTGGGAAAGCAAATAATCCCAACAATTTTGATACCGTCAGTTAGAAACCAGGTCTATCACTTTAATTAATAAAATTTGGTAATCTCCTTTATATATACTGCATTTCTTTGTTAATGTGCCTTCTGATCAGATTTTGTAAAATATAAGACATTAAGTTAATTGTCCAGCTTTATTTAATATGACTTGCATTAGTTCTGATTTAAGATACCACGGGATTATTTTTCCTAATTATGAAGACATTGAGCTAATTGTTTATAATATTTAATTGACTTAATTTGCAATTCTTTTTTCAGTCTTGTTTCTCTCATGCTTGTCTGACACCATGTTTTAATTTAGATATGAGCTCACTAGCTTATGTTTTTTAATTTTACTCTACAAGATTGTACCACATGTACTAACATGGTATTACATTTTGAGTTACGTTACCAGAGTGCAGTTTTGTGTTGCACTTTTAAGTTGCTTCCCAGTAATTCACAATTTCGAGATGACTTTGTTTATGATTATGCTGGTGCTGCAGCATTTTTCTCCTTTGGTGTTCCTTCCAGCCTCCAGTGTGAAGTAGATACCTTGTGTTATATATTATTGAGAGAAACACAATCCCACAGATAGTTGGGGCAGGCCTCATTGTCTTCTGATGAATTCATGCAACAGGATAAAAGATCTCCTTTGAATTATAGACACTTTTTATGTTTAAGAATTATGCTTTCAAAGTTGGCTTTTTCCCCCCGTTTTGAAATTTAAAAGCTCTTTCATACAAGATGATTTGAATGCTCTGTGTCGTTTAAAAATACAGGATTTGTTATCATACTTCAGAAACATGAAGCTAAATAGTAAGGTAAAATATTTGTAAGCTACATCTACTAAGTGCCTAGGTTTCAAGTTTTAGTCATCTAAAAATGCAGTTTGGAGAGGTAACTTTCTGAATGTTACCTATTCTTGTAGAACTTGCTAATGTGTTTCTGATAATAGGTTTTTTTTCCTTTTTAAAAAGCATAATATGTCTGATATTAAGTAGAACTTGCTAATGTGTTTCTGATACTAGTTTTGTTTGCTTTTTAAAAAGCATAATATGTCTGATATTAGCTTCTTTAAAAATATAATGTGACTCTTTTTTTTTAGGCAATATTCTTTGCACTGTGCAGTGTGATGAACCGATTAAAATATTTACCATACGGGGAACTTCTTTTGAGGCCGCACCAACAAGTGGTGGTAGTGCCAGTTTAGAAAAGTGTGAGTATTTGTTCCCATATTTTGTTGTTTCATGTAATAAAGTTTTGCTCACTGCACAGTGATGTTTTGCAGAAGTATTTGTCAAAGCAAACTGATTGTCGTAATTGGAGCTTTATGCTTTTAATATGCGTACTTGCATGTTTTAGTGGTATCTGGTATGGGAAGGTGTGGATTACTGTTGACCAGAAATGGAGATTATCTGTGCTGAAATCTGTGCCTGTTTCACTCGCTGCTTAAACCTCTGCCACCGCAATCTTGAAATTTACCCGTATTTAAAGTTACAGCTGTTTGAGTAGCCAGATTGGTTTTCAAAGCATGATGGAGCAAAACTAAACGTGGCTGGCTCTCCACAGATTTGGTTTAATGGGTCATATTTTGAGATAGGTGATTATAGTGTCTCGCTGAATCAGTAGCAGTTTAAGTTAATTTGGGAACATCTACTTACTGGTTTAGGTCAGTTTTAACTAAATCAGTTTAAATTACTATTTTAATGAAGCCAGTGTGGCTTTGATGATAGAGAAATCCAGTCACAGAATCGCAAAATAGTTGAGGTTGGAAAGGACCTCTTGAGACCATCTAGACCAACCCCCCTGGAGAGGATTGCCCAGGACTGTGTCCAGTCAGGCTTTTCGTATCTCCACAGATGGAGACTTCACAACAACCCTGGGCAACCTCTTCCAGTGTTTGATCACCTTCCTTTTTTTCTGCTGTGGGGCTTTTTATGACTGTGCTGTAAACCCAGCAGAGGCCATCGTTAGTAACGCTGTGCTCTGTGTGTGTGTGTTCCAGACCTCGTATTTTTCTGGGTCGCTCAGTGCCTCCCCCCGAACCATCCTGGATTTTCTAATGCCTGTGGATGTTAGGAAACAAATACTACTTGATGCTTAAGATTAGCATATTGCACTGCTTAATTAGCTTGTTTGCCTGTCTTAATAAGAACCACACTTACTATGCTGGGTTGGTATCAATGTGTTACTTGTACAACAGACCTTCGTTTTAGTGCAGCTTGTACTATAGATTACTTAAACACAACCAACAGAAGAGGCTTGTAACTCAAAGCCACAGAGCAATTACTAAGCTAAAAGCTTGCAGTAGAATTGGTTATAGAATGAACTTTTGCATTAAGTTTAATCTCAGATTTAAAAGGTTGAAAATACACCATTTATCCTTTTTCTTGGGGATGTTTTTTTTCTATCTGATCAATGCAGTAACCCCTCCGCCGCCTGTCGGTCTGTCTGAATGGATTGAGCAGAAGTTGACAAAAAGCGATCGACCAGAGCTTACTAGTGCAAAAGTGGTTGTATCGGGTGGTAAGTAGATAATATTGAAACTGTGTTATGTTACATTTGAGTAACAGTACATCTTGATTAAGTAATATCTGTAGCAGAACACTATAATGTGATACATTACAAAAAAAAACAGCTATGATGTAATTCTGAGATAAGACATAGGGACCAGTGGGAATGCACCCAACGCGTATGCTGCGTGAAGAGGAAAAGCATGGATTTAACACAAGCTAGTGGGCTTTTTAAGAACGTTGTCATATTTGGTGAGTTCCCTTCAAAAATGTAGCAATATGTAGTGGCTTTAGATCCAAATCTGTTATGTTTAAAATTATTGGTAATCATTATAGGCAGTCCAAACATTATTATGTAATGGCTTTAGTGATTTTAGAAATCATTATATTTGGATTCTGCTATTCAGGTATAAAGTGATGCACTGTGATTTTTACTCCATGCCTAACAGCTAAAAAGTTATTCCATAGTTATCCCGCTACAGAGTTTTGTACCTAAAGCCAGCAGAGGGAGCACAAATTAGTAAAAAAATCCTGTTTCCTTGATTTCAGAGAATGATCGTGATAGTGCAGTGTACAGGAAGTAAACCAGACAGAGTGGTATTGGTTTATACATACGAAATAATAGTATTAATCACAAAGACAAAAGCTAAATCTCCAAATATTAAATGCTGTTTAGTATTATCTCCAGAAATTCCCTATGCAGGTGTATATTTGTGCCTTTGAAAATGTAAATACTCATACAGAAAGTTTATGTAGGCAATAAAAAAAATCTTAAAGCATATTATGATGTTCCTTCTTTATCTTTGTTGTTTTTAATTTTTAAGGGAGAGGCTTGAAGAGCGGTGAAAATTTTAAGTTGTTATATGACCTTGCAGATCAGTTGCATGCTGCAGGTAAAGCTTGTTTTCATCCTGTTTTTTTAACCCTCGTTATTTTAATTTTAAAAGGTCACATTAAAAAACAGGGTTCATCTGAAGTCTTTTATTCTCATGTCTCTGTCAAATAAATTCTTAAAATCCTGTTAGTTAGTTGTAGAGTTTTGTCTTATCATTGTGGTCAACTGTGTATTTAAATGCCCATGCATGAAGCAAAATACTAAACTGTACTATTCCCTGTTGTCTTCATGTCTCCAGAACACAAGCTCGCAAACAAAAAGTGAAGTTGTATAAATTGAAAAATGGTCTTGGCTCACTTTGAAGAGCTGATATTTTCTTTGTACGTCCTTATATACTATTCCTTTACAGAATCCCTTTCGCAGTTCTTGTAGTTTGAGTGGCTCTGTATTTTTGCTATGCTTTTGTATTAGCAAAATACAAGAGAAAACTAACCATGTACAGAGTCTCAGCAAAATATTTTAAGTAAAGGTTGGGGAGGAGAAGGAACTGTTTGCATTAACATTTTTAACTGCATTAGTTTTAGATTTCATGTGTAATAATGAATTCATAGTGTTACATGAATGGCTTCACTAACTAAATGTCCATGTGGCGTTTTCAAGTTTACTTTGATATTTTTCTTTACAATGCCTGACTTCTGAGCTCCACAGCAGTATAAGATGGCACATGTGTTCTATTCAAACTCGGAGGAACATTATGGGAAGACATTTATGGGAAAATCTTCTTTTTACAAAGCGACAAGAGAAAATAATGGAAATATGCCAGACTGAAATCCTCGGTTTTTAAAATATGGCCCTTTGGTGCTGGGAGTAAGGATTTCCTGTTGCTTATGAAGTGCATTAGCACTTAGTATTTGGAAGTTTCAGCCAGTGGTATAGAGAGGGATTACTATAAGAGCTTTTAAGAGGGAAGTTTCTAAATACGTGCCCTTAGAGTATGGGACTCTTCAGTAAAATACATGTGCTTTTATGGTGATAGAAATTTGGCTCGCTAATATTTTAAAAGAAAACACTGGAAATATTTTCTTTCAACTAGTTGGAGCTTCCCGTGCAGCTGTTGATGCTGGCTTTGTTCCTAATGACATGCAAGTTGGACAGACGGGCAAAATAGTAGCACCAGTAAGTATGGAAATATCTTTCGTAAAAGAGCTGTAATGTTTTCTACCATGCATTTTCCTTCAAAGCAAGTGCTCAGAAGTGAGTTGAGTCTTAATACTGTGCTTAACAGGAGAATCTTAGTGTGCCCATTGTGATATTGTCACTTGACAGTGTGTTTGCAAAACTACAGCAGCAGGCTGTGATGTCAGTCTCTACTTTGGGTCAGTCAGAAGTGTTCTGCAGTTTTGTCAGAGGTTTTGCATGCAGGATTTTTTCATAGTTGCCTGTGCTGAACCTTTTTTAGTTTTGCAACAGCCATCATTGATGTGCTAAAAGATGTCATTGCCAACATAAACTTGAAATTATATTGATATGTGGCTTGATCTCTGGAAAGTGTGTTTTCTGGGTTTTTTACAGGGTTTGGTTTGTTTTTTTTTTTTTAAGTTTTGGTAACCGTAACTGTGTTATGTCATTATATTTTAACAAAATTTTTGTAAGAGATGAAAGTGCAAGAAACTTATGAGATAAATAATCTACAGATTGGCTGCTGTAGAGTGAAATGCCAAGAAGGGTGTACTCCAATGAGTGCCTTCATATTGGGAAATAACCTGCTTGCATCCCAACATCACAGGGGACTGATTTCTACTCTGTGTCTTTTTGGATCTTGGGGGTGGGGGGGTGGGCGGAGCTTTCTGTCATGTAGACGTCTGAGACTGATTGTTCCTTATGACCTGGGGAAGGTGGTAGAGAGATAAAGCACATGGTGCATTTGTAAGTAAGAAGGTATAAATGTAGCTCATCTTGGTGTGGGGCAGAGTGTGCACTAGCACATACTGGGATGCGATGGTCATAGATGTGAGCAGGGAATTCTGATGAAGAACATGGGCACGTATGGCAATCTGTCAGACGTACACAGAGCTACATAATTGAGTAATCATTTGGCCTTTCAGTAAGCAGTTCTCTTTGATAAGCGTGTGTGGCAACAGAAGGTACCAAAGAGCAACTTTTTACTTGTTAATGGTTTAATGAAACCAGAAAGGGAGAGTGAGCTGGAACTTAGCAGAGAAGCTTGTCATATTTTAACTGCTGCAATTTATAAATGCAACCTAAACTCTTCTTTCTGGTGATGTCTTGTGCACAGTATGTTATTTTTTTGGTTGTAGTGCAGGACAGCTGTAGCCCCCAGCATAATACTTTGCCAAGGGAACGTTAGTATTTAAATATATTGCACTTTCTTTTCATCACACAGTAGGCATAAGGTCCAACATATTGCAGCTATATGTCTCAGTAAGCTGATAAACACTAATTCAGTAAGTGCAACTTCAACATCCATGGAAATTGCAGGTTCCAAAGAAAGCAGGGCTGGCTGTCACAAGGAGGCAATCTTCAGCTGGTCGTGGCATACCTAAACTTTTGAAAACCAAGGATTAAGCTGAGTGTCCTTTAACTGCATATTTTGAAATGGCATGAGATGGGACTGACCGTCCTTAGTTCTTCACTACCCAAATATCCAAATGAAGTGGAAAATGCTAATTTGAAGACAGCTCAACTCTGTTTTGTGTATCTCAAGGCCCAACAATGAACATTCTTTCCAGAGTAAAGGGCATATAAACATTTATGGTGAAACAAAAAAAGGCTAGTTTTTGATGAAGATATAGTGGTGTAACTTGCCACAGGTAGCTCTTAGCAACATGTAAAAGTAATAAGAACATACAGCCACATCATAGGATCACATCAGTGTCATCATCGTCATCTTCTAGAGTATTGTTAAAATAGCCATTAGTCAGTCAGGACCAACTAATGAGTGTTTAACTCTTGTGTCAATAAACAATCCTAACTGGCACAATTGCATGGTGCTGCATCTTTTTGTCAGCAGGTTGATGCATTGCTCTCTCATCTCCCTTCTTAACGAATACTTATTAGTGAGTTATGCAGAGTACTGAAAATTATATGCCCCTTCTTTCAAATTGTTCAAATACTTTTTCTGGATCTTAAAATACGTGCTAGGGCAGCATACAGTGGCTTAGAAGTATAGGAAGTATTGCAAGTTAATTGTAATGAAAGTGCCAGTTGAATTGATACTAAGCTCTCAGAGTTGCTGGTGAGGGAAATTAATTTTTCCATGTGCTTTATAGGTATCTTAAATATGAGGCAGTTTAAAGCTGCAACTTCTTAATGTCCCATTCCTAATTCTACTTCAACGTCTTTTTGGTACTTTAGCTAGAAACTTATTCTGTGCAGTGGGAGATAAGAGTTCACTTAAGGAAGGAGTAGAACTGAACTTCCTTGATCATATGAGATTATGCTGGCTATTTTAACAATCCTCTAGAAGATGACTGCTCTCTCTTCCTATGAGGTATGTTTGATATTGCTAGTTTGGGCGGAACTCATGAGGTTTTATCTGGAAAATGGCAAAACAGCTTTGTGCATTGGTTAGTTATATTAGCTGAGACATGAGGTTTGTGTTTAGTTTTGAACTCCAGATGACATGGTGCATGCCCTCCTGGGCATGTGGGTTTTAAGCAGAGGAAGAATCTTGGATCCAGGAAGCCGTTGGGGTTTGGGACATACTTGCTCTCCTGTGCAGCTGTTAGTTTCTGATGGGAAAGTATCTTAGCGTATGCTCTTACTCTTCTATTAATAGTCTCTTGCCCAGTCTCAGTGGAGGATTGGAATGCATTGTTTTTAAAGGACTCTGGAATTGGGTCATTTTTGAGACTACAGAGGGAGAAGAGTTAGTTACAAGCTCAGGAAGAGGGGAGGTGCTTCCACGGCTGCTTTTTGTGTGGGGAGTGGTTCTGTGCTGATCATTGGGCAAGAAGGTAATAATCTAAAAGATGTGTTTATTTCTTCCTGTGGGCCTTTGATTTGGATTTAGTGAAGGAAAGGTAATTTTGATCATTGGTCCCTCAGTAATTCCACAACCAGCTTCAGTTTGTAAGGGTGCAGCCCAGACAGTGCATCACAGGACATGAGAACACTACAGCAGCTTTCCTGAAATGCTGATGTGTTAATGCATGAACAAACTGCCAGTTCAAGAAACAATTGTAGTTCGTTTTGCTTAAGTAATGAAAGAAGGCAGTTAATTAAGGAGTACAAATTTTACCTTCTATTTTGCTTAAGTAATGAAGGCAGTTAATTAAGGAGTACAAATTTTACCTTCTTTCTGTTTGAGAATTAGTTGTGTACAGTACACTTACCCTTCCAAAATAGCCTTGGCTCTCTAAACTTTGAGCTTTTGTTCATGTTGGAGTTTATGCATTTTGTTGTTTTTGACTGGAACTTTGGTAGTTTTTAATTTGTATAATTTTATTTCAGTTGCTAGAATATTTGGTGTATTATTAGCTTTTTTTACCTGTTGATTTCAGGTGATTGCAGCTCCTATTTGAACATTCTGTCTATGAAGAGAAGGCAGATCTGTATTATTTGATGAGATGGAAGGAAGGAAATTTTTAGGCATAAGTGGATATATTAAACTATAAAATGTTACCTTCCTAATTAAAAAAGTAATTTAGTATATTCAATGTCTTTAATCAGCAACAACCATTTTAGGAACTTTTTTTTTTTTTTTTTAATTAGAAGCCAGTTGTTTTCCACTATTTCTTATATGCAGGTGTTCTGTAGAAAGATGAAATTAGTTCTCAGATTAAGCACTGTATGTAGTTTCTGTTTGAGAAAAAAGCCCTTGTAAGAATTTTCAAATTAGTTGATTTTGGATAAAATATCCTTCCCATGAGTGCCCACTGTTAAGTATTAGTTAAGCATACCCAGTTAGAAAATACTACATTGCCTGCACAAGTTACTGTGTGGGACCTGGAGACTTCCTTCTGGAGCAGCATCTCTGATTCGGGTGGGAGATCCTACATTCTCTGCGCTGCCGCTAGGCACCTGTGTTTGGACACCCAAATTGTTCCCAGGGTCTCCCAAGCTTTTCCTGTGTCCTATTCTAGTTATATTCACCCTTTAGGTTTTGAAGGAAGATGGGCTTGTACTGGCAATTATCTCGCTCTCAACTTCTTCCCCCCAGAAAGCAAAACCTCGGTGGCACTCCAAGTTCCCTTTTTTTTCTTTTTTTTTTTTCCTTTTTTTCAGAAAGTCTGTGTCATTTTAGGCTGTTGTGATCCTTGTGAAGGATCTGCTGCTGCCTGAAAGGCATCCTTCTAGTTTAATCTCTTCAGAGTTTAAATGTTCACTCTTTTAATTTATTTAATTTTCCTCTGTTGAAGTCTATGTTCTTTCTGGGGTCCAGTTCTCTAACTGCTTTAGCTTTCTTTGTAGGTTTTCCTAGCTGGCAATAGGGAAGATGTGGCCAGACCCACAATTGTAGGACTAAGGGGGTGTCCAGCCAGGGCTAGCCACCTGTGGGCCATGGCTGGAAAGCCTCACCTTCACCGTTTCAGACTTTATTGCAAGCATTTCTTCTCGAGGAGGGTACAGTACAGGGGAAAGCACAGCCAAGCAGAACTCCTTGTTTTCAGGTGTTCAGTTGCTGCTGCCTTGTTACTTCCAACATAGGGCACAAAATAGTAACAGGCAACAAGAAACGGAGATGGAAAATTCAGGAAGGCAGAAGTTAGAAAATAGGTCGTAATAATTGGTACTGGATTAGATGATTGTGCTAGAAATGTGATCTGATTGCACAGAAGGCAGATGTGTTTGGGTATTGCATGTGCTGAGAAAGCTCGGGTGGGGAATGCAGATGGGAATTCAGTGTGGTTCTGATATGATCACCAGGAGTAAACTTGCTGACCTGCTTAGCTTCAGTGCTTAAGCTTTGATTTCATACCAGAAGGTCTCTCTGGATGTAATGAATTGCAGGGACTTCAAAAGGGAGGTAGATGTACAACTGTCAGGAACTGACAGTAATAATGAGGGGAAAAGGGGCATGTTAAAGAGGTGCAGCTTCAGTTGAGATGCTGAAGACTAAAGTGTTAGTTCAGTTGAAAGGCACCAAAGCCATGGAAGAACAGGAACAACTTAAGATGTTATATTTGGTAGAGAATGCAGGAAAAGGAAAGCTG